CAGCCTCTGTGGTGTTAAAGAGGATGAAAGTCTTGGGGAAGGAGAACATCAGACTGGACTGGGGGGAAACAACCCATAGTTGGGACTTTCCTTCCAGATGATGTCATGGTATCCTCTCACTCTGAGTATACCTCTCCAGGGAAGGGAATCTCAGTTATTAGGAAGAGACAGGTAATAGTAATGGGGGATTCAGTCATTAGAAATATAGATAGCTGGGTTTGTGATGACTGGGAAAACCGCATGGTAAATTGCCTGCCAGGTGCAAAGGTTGCGGATCTCTTAAGAGATTTAGACAGACTTATGTACAGTGCTGGGGAGGAGCCAGTGGTTGTGGTACATGTAGGTACCATTGACATAGGTAAAGGTAGGAGAGGGAAGTCCTGGAGCCAAAATTTAGGCTGCTAAGTAAGAGATTAAAGTCCAGGACCTCCATGGTAGCATTCTCTGAAATGCTTCCAGTTCCATGTGCAAGGCCAGTTAGACAGGCAGAACTGCAGGATCTCCATGCATGGCTGCACAGGCACCAACTTTCCTTGGCCCCAGCCCCGCCCTGACTCAGCCCCTCCCCGCCCCTATTGGACACCTCCCCAAATCCCGGCCCCGCCTCTTCTCCGAGCGCGCCGCATTCCTCCTCCTCTCCCTCCCTCCCAGCGCTTGCCGCGCGAAACAGCTATTTCGCGGCGCAAGCGCTGGGAGGGAGGGGGGAGAAGCAGGATGCAGTGGCGCGCTCAGGGGAGGAGGCGGAGCGGAGGCGGAGGTGAGCTGGGGTGGGGAGCTGCTGGTGGGTGCAGAGCACCCACCAATTTTTCCCCGTGGGTGCTCCAGCCTCGGAGCACCCACAGAGTCGGCGCCTATGCATGGCTGAGATGGTGGTGTTCAGAGAGGGATTATTAGGAAGTGGAGAATGTTTTGGGAAAGGAAGATCCTATGCAGGAAGGATAGGTTCCACCTAAACCAAAATGGAACTAAGTTGCTGGCATGTAAACTAGGTCATACAGGAGTTTTTTAAAAAAGGGCTGGGGGAAACAGACAGGTGCGGAGGAGCAGATGGTTTGGACAGAGACATCACCAGGGGAGGATTTATTAAAGGGGATATTCTAGAGCCTAGTAAAGAGGACAGGATAGAAGTTGAAAAAGTACAGGTAGGAACTGAAGAAAACAGTCAACAAAAAAGAGTCCCATTCTATTACATCACATGAAGGCAGACAACTAAATATTGACAAATTTTGTAAGTACTTCTATACAAATGCTAGAAGTCTAATTACTAAGATGGGTGCACTTGAGTGCCTGGTATTAAATGAGGATGTTGATATAATAGGCATCCTAGAAATTTGGTGGAATTATGATAATCAAAGGAACACAGTAATATCAGAGTGCAAAATATATAGGAATAACAGAGTAGGTCATGCCCATGGGGGAATGGCGAATGTGTGAAAGAAAGCATAGCGTCAAATATAGTAAAAATCTTAAATGAATCAAACTGTACCATAGAATCTCTGAATAGAAATTCCATGCTTGAAAAATCAGAGTACAGCAATAAGATACTACCAACCACCTAACCAGGATGTTAATGGTGATTGTGGAATGCTCAGAGAGATTAGAGAGGCTACAAAAACAGAAAACCCAATAATAATGGGAGATTTCAGCTATCCTCATATTGACTGGGTATATGTCACCTCAGGACAGGATGCAGCGATAAAATTTTAGACAGCATTAATGACTGCTACTTGGAGCAGTTAGTTCTGGAACCCACAAGGAGAGAGGCAATTCTTGATTTAGTCCTAAGTGGTGCAGAGGATGTGGTCCAAGAGGTGAATATAACTGAACCACTCCATAATAGTGACCATAATACAATTAAATTTAACATTCTTGTAGGGGAGAATACCAAAGAAATCCACCACAGCAACATTTAATTTCCAAAAGGGGAACTACTCAAAAATGAGGAAGCTAGTTAAACAGAAATTAAAAGCATCAGTCACAAGAGTGAAATGGCTGGAAGTAGCATGGAAACTTTTTAAAAACACCATAATAGAGGCTCAAAATAAATGTATGCCCCAAATTAAAAAAATAAAAAACAGTAAGAGGACCAAAACAAATTGCCACCATGGCTAAACAACTGAATGAAAGAGGCTGTTAGAGACAAAAAGACATCCGTTAAAAATTGGAAGTCAAATCCTAGTGAGGAAAATAAAAAGGAGCATAAACTCTGGCAAGTCAAATGTAGAATTATAATTAGGCAGGCCAAAAGAGAATTTGAAGAGCAATCTAGCAATAGACAGAAAAAGTAACTGCAAAAATTTTTTGCATACACCAAAAACAGGGAAGTTGCCAAACTATCAGTGGGGCCACTGGATGATCAAGGTGCTAAAGGAGCACTCAAGAAAGACAAGGCTTTTGCAAAGAAACTAAATGAATTCTTTGCACCAGTCTTCATTGCGGAGGAGGAGGAGGAGGAGATTCCTACACCTGAGCCATTCTTTTAGGTTACAAATCTGAGGAACTGTCCCAAACTAAGGTGTCAGTAGGGGAGGTTTTGGAACAAACTGATAAATTAAACAGTAATAGGTCACCAGTACCAGATGGTATACACGTAAGGGTTTTGAAGGAACTCAAATATAACATTGCAGAACCACTAACTGTGGTTATGTATGGTATGTAACCTATCACTTAAATCAGCTTCTGTACCAGATGACTGGCAGATAGCTAATGTGATGCCAATTTTTTTACAAAGGTTCCAGAGGTAATCCTGGCAATTACAGGCCAGTAAGCTTAAGTACAGTACCAGGCAGACTGGTTGAAACTATGGTAAATAAGAGATAAGTTGGGGATGAGTCAACATGGCTTTCTTAAAGGAAATCATGCCTCACTAATCTATTAGAATTCTTTGAGGGGGTCAACAAACATGTGGACAAGGGTGATCCAGTGGATATGGTATACTTTCGGAAAATCTTTGACAAGGTCCCACACCAAAGGCTCTTAAGCAAACTAATAGTCATGTGATAAGACGGTAGGTCCTCTCATGGATCAGTAACTGGTTAAAAGATAGGAAACAAAGGGTAAGAATAAGTGGTCAGTTTTCACAATGGAGAGAAGTAAATAGCAGTGTTCCCCAGGGATCTGTACTGGGACCAGTACTGTTCAACATATTCATAAATGATCTGGAAAAAGGGGTGTACAGTGAAGTTGCAAAGTTTGCAGATGATATTAAATAAATCAGATAGTTAAGTCCAAAGCAGACTGCGAAGAGTTACAAAGGGATCTCGCAAAACTGGGTGACTGGGCAACAAAATGGCAGATGCAATTCAATGTTGATAAATGCAAAGTAATGCATATTGGAAAACATAATCCTAACTATACATACAAAATGATGAGGTCTCAGTTAGCTGTTACAACTCAAGAAAGTCAAACTGAAATCATTGTGGATAGTTCTCATGTGCAATGGCAGTCAAAAAAGGAAACAGAATGTTAGAAACCACTAGGCAAGGGATAGATAAGAAGACAGAAAATATCATAATACCACTATATAAAGTTACAAAGAAGGGCAACAAAAATTATGAAGGGTATCAAACAGCTTCCAGATGAGGAGAGATTAAAAAGACAAACTGTTCAGCAAGGAAAAGAGACGACTAAGCAAGGAGATAATAGAGAGATATAAAATCATGAATGGGGTGGAGTAAGTGAATAAGGACTATTCTTTACATAACTCAAGAGCCAAGGGTCACCCAATGAAATTAATAGGCAGCAGGTTTAAAACAAAAGGAAGTATTTCTTCACATAATGCAGTCAACCCCACAGTTGCGAGGGGATGTTGTGAAGGCCAAAAGTTATAACTGGTTCAAAAAAGAATTAGATAAGTTCATGAAGGATAGGTCCATCAGTGGCTATTGGCCAAGATGGTCAGGTATGCAACCCCGTGATCTGAGTGTCCCTAACCCTCAGACTGCCAGATGCAGGGACTGGACAATAGGAGTTGGATTACTTGATGATTGCCCTGTTCTGTTCAATCAACTTGAAACCTCTGGTATTGGCCACTGTCAGAAAACAGAACGCTGGGTAGAAGGCGCATTGGTCTGCCCCAGTATGGCCATTCTTTATGTTTTTATTTATTAATTTTTAATGTTTCAGGCCCCAGGAAGTCAGTGACCCTCACTCACACATGCAGGGTGAATCTCATGACCTGATTTTATTTGGGATGGAATGAAATTTTCCTCCCATGTCACACTAGCCTACCTGAAAAGAATACCAGTGTGTGGGAGGAGGAGGTCTACATTTCCCTGGGAAGCATTCTGCAGGGATCAGTTGGTGGAAAGTTTAGGTATGTGCCTGGAAACCTGAGGTGCACCAGACTATTAGCAGCTTTAGCACACTTTCATGATGCACCTGAGCTACAATGCCTGGAATGCTTGTTTTCAGTGCCACAGTTTCAGATAGGAGAGTTTCTTGAGCTGGAAGCTAATAATCATGGCCTCTGTTCTCAAAAGTTTTGCACAGGTGAGGCTAAGGGCAGGGAACATATACATTTATATTCCTATATTTTATATACACCCTTACGCATACTGTGCTGTGTAACATGAATACAGTGGCAAAGAGGACATGCAGATAATTAGCATCTTTTCATTCTAGGGTGAAGAGGATTGAGTTTATTAATATTCTATGCATATGCAATTGTCTAAACCTTTCCTGCAATAAATGTCACCTTGCTATATTTCACTGGGCAGTTCATAATTTTAATTGAATATCTTTTAGAGAGACTAACATATACTTCAAACTGAATCACTATTATTTTCTACCTATATAACAATGAGAGAGTATTTTAGTCCATTACTGTGCATTATCTCAGTTTTGTTTACTGTAGCATATGAAAATCCTCACATTAAAACCATAATACCATGAGATACTGAAATTTCACAGACAGTGCTAAGTTAAAATATTTATTGCCCTCAATTTTCTATATTTTAACCATCTGGCTTGTAAATGAGGTAGTTATGTAAATTCTGTACCTTCAGCAGATGCAGTTTTCCTCCTGAACTTCTTGTACAAATTAAAAAGTGTTTTGTAAATAAGAAGCATTGTCTTTCTCCTTCTTTTTTCAAAGACAATGATCCCAGGCGAACTTTACTAAGTTTCCCCCTCTCAACTGAAGGGACTTGAATAAGAGAACCTGGTGATTACAAAAGTGAAGAATATGCTGTAATTATAAAACTATTTAATAAGTGATGTGCCCAGTGTTAATGTAACAGGCAGTCTATTCTATACTATATATAAAAAGCATTCATGCAACTCATTAACTCCCATGGGAGTGCAGAGATACCTTGCTCTTAGAACAGAGACTAGTAATTCATTTATTTTTTACCCTCTAGATTGGGTTTCACTCTCTAGATCAAATTCAGGAGAAAGTTGTACCTCTTTATACCAACAATAATTGCAAACCTATTTCTTTACTCACATTAGGGCCATATTCAGCCAAATCCAACCTGCAATAATGCTTGTGCTCCTGCCAGGGAGATTTCTTGGAAAAATTCATGGGTACTTTAAGTTACATATCATGTGTCTCTTGGTCAGATAATGGAGATTAGGTGGCAATGTAGAACAATTTGCACTAATTTGGTATTTAGTATCTTTGCAAAATGAGTAATTTAAACATCAAGGAGATGGAAGAGGGTAGGGATAGGGTACAGTTGAAAAAAGCAACTGACAGAGGAGTTTAAATAAGATGGGCTTCTTTTCCTTTAGTTTACTTTGCAAAATTCTCAGCCCTCCTGGGCCAAACTGAAGCCTACTGTCTGCAGACACAACTCCCATTGAATTCAATAGAGACTGTATCCTGTTACGCCAGTGTCTGAATCAGATCACCACAACATTTCACATTGGTAAAAGTTACATTACTATGCCACTTGCACCATCTTTAACCTGTTTTCTGACCAACTTTCACAGGACACCCAACTTACACCACCATGTGTGTCACCCATTTGTGACCTTTGTGGAGTCAATTTTTTTCTTATGGATCAAATATACAACTCCTTATGTGTATCTGAGAGCAGTATCTGACTCAAAAGTTTATCCACTTAGTTAATAAATATTAGCTTAAAATTCATTACATTACATTGGAAGGAAAATCATCTTGTTCACTCTTCATGTATAAAGTGTTAAGTTAATAACATATATATAAATGGAAAACAAATGTCTTACTGAGAAAGCAATGTTTAGTTTACATAAAATTTAGCTGAATACTTACCTTCCCCAAATACACGTTTTAAATTAATTTTAGACATAACAATATATATAAAGCTTCTATAAACAGGCATAGTCAAATACACACTGGTAAAAGACAGTTAGAACTGTATTCACTAATGCCTATTTAGAGGGGTATGACAAAATTCTCACCATTGCAATAAAAAACTGGAATAAAGTTCAACTTTCTGAAGTTTTGCAGAGGCATGGAACATTTTGCAGATTCATCTAGAATTCTGAGCAAAAAAATTATGTGTGGGTTTTTTTGTTGTTGTTGTTGTCTTTGCCAAACAAAACTGCCTATCTGTCCAGCTGAAAAGCTAGAAGACCAGCTTTGTGTGTTGAATTGTGACATTCACTCCCTGACACCTCCCACCATCACCTTCCAAAACACTATGCAAGGCTTGGCTTGAAATTAAAAAATTCTGAAGGAACTTTCCATTCCAGAGCTTATAACATGTTCTTCTTAGCTCCTAAAATTCAAGATAGGATTTAATAGTAGTTATCCATCTTATCCGTATTCTGCCTGGAGCAGAAGCAACTACATTAGAGTTAATACTTTTTGTGTTATCACTTTGCTTAAAGAAGTATTCATATTCACAAAGTGGTTTAGAAATACTCATTTTTTGCTGATGATATGGTACAATACTTTGAATAGTACAGTATTTAATAATGCCACTAATGGGCTGAAGATAGAGTATTTGTTAATGCCAAGTTGTGTTCCTGTAGAAATATGAAATGTTATTGTTTAAGAAACCAACATCATGAGCTGGTAGTATATCACATGAAATAAAGTACTGCGTGAACTCATTTTGCTGGATTAAATAAACAATTTAATATGAATCATATATTGAGTCAGTTCCCCAGCAAATACTCTATGGTTCTCATCTAGCAAAGAGGCCAATTTCTGTTGGGGTTTTCTGTTTGGTGAATTCCTATTAACAATAGGAACTGAGCATCTGTTTGCCATACATTCCCACTACAGATTTCCTCTTAAGGGGAAAAAAAAACCCACATATTGGGACAGCTCCCTATTGTAATAAGTGATGCTAATTTTGGAACACTCATTAACCCAAATTAATTCAGTGACATGCTTCAGTAGAATTTTCAGATCAATCTTGGGTATTTTAACCAGAAATACTTGAACTAAGTGGTTTGGTATTGCCAAAATATTATTGTAACAACATACAGTATCTGCAATTTGGGACAGACTAAGTGTCATATTTTTCTTTTTAAAATGAGGCTTTAAGTCTGCATGCTGTTGCCTGATTTACAAATGCAATTCTGCTTTCTCCTGCTCTGGAGTGTTATAAATTGCCACAGTATTGCCAAGAGAGGAAGTTGGGCGGTTGGGAGGAGTGGATCTCAAGCAAGGAATCTGGGGGCCCTGGAAAGAGCATGGCACTTAATGGGCATTGGAGCAGTCTGTAGGCAGAAGTCACTAACTGAATGCATATTGGGACCCACTAGGTGCTAAAGTCTATAGCAAGTTACAGTTACAATAGCAAGGAAGTGGCAGAGGGAAACACAGGAACAGGAACCAGTTCTCCTGACTCCCATACCTATAGGGTTACCATATTTTAATTTTTAAAAAGGAGGACACTGCATGGGGGCCTGGCCCCACCCCAACTCCGCCCCTTCCCCACCCCCAGCCCTGCCCCAACTCTGCCCCCTCCCTGAACGCTCCGCCCCCTGCTCCTCCCCCTCCCCTGCTTCCCGCGAATCAAATGTTCGCGGGAAGCCTGAAACAGGGAGGCAGCAGGTAAGCTGGGGCTGGGGCGGGGTGTGGCGCGGCCCAGTCCGGCCCCCCTGGACGAGCGGCTCCCTTTGGCGGCCGGCCGACCCAGGCCAAGAGGCTCTGGCCCCAGCGTCTCCCACCCGGC